GCTGGGTGGAAGGGGGCAAAGGCAGGGTGGGGTAGGGACATCTGTAATACTGTCAAAAGTAAAAAAAAAATAGTCCTTTTACTGAGCTCACTGCAAATTACCCTCTTTCAGGGTGCCATCTGCTTTCTGCCTCGCCCAACTGGCACGAGCGTTCATGTACCCAGCCTCCTGCTTCCCACTCCGGTCTGAATCAAGCCTGTCACCTACACGTTCTGCAGAGGGGAAAACAGATCTACCGAATGGAAAACTGACAGGACAAACTGCAGACAGGAGGAGAGGCATCAGAAGAAGGAGTCGCCTTCTTTGGGTAAAGATTTTCGTATAACTGGCATTCCTAGGCTTGCTGAGCAAGCTAACAAGAAGCAGAGGGAATAAGATCACATTTTTCCAGCATCATCTTTTTGGTGACAAATTAAAGGGGTGGAAAAGGACCAGCCACCAGGTGAACATAGGGACATAGAAATACCTTTCCTATGTTCACATCCCATGGGCGGCCCAACGTCAACCAAGACCATGTCCTTAGGGCCTCAGGTTCTCACCTCCTGCCTGGGGTCTCCACCTTAAGGTGGTGCCATCTGTCCTGAAGTGAAGGTGGCCCTGGCATGTCGAGATGAGGGAGGTGAGCATGAGGAGGGGGGACTGCAGGGGGTTACATGTGCACTCAGAAGCACTTCTCCAAATCCCACCTGCTCTTCAAGGTGCAGCTCAAAACCCACCACTCCCTTAAGGACCAGCTGTTCTCTGAACTCTGATACAGTTCATCGAGACCCTTTTTAAAAATGTACAGCATTTTCTTTCCATCGTCTGCACAGTCTAGGGCAGTGATGGCGAACCTATGACACCTCTGACACGTGAACTCATTTTTTTGGTTGATTTTTTCTTTGTTAAATGGCATTTAAATATATAAAATAAATATCAAAAATATAAGTCTTTGTTTTACTATGGTTGCAAATATCAAAAAATTTCTACATGTGACACAGCACCAGAGTTAAGTTAGGGTTTTTCTAAATGCTGACACGCCGAGCTCAAAAGGTTCACCATCACTGGTCTAGGGCCACCTATCTTCCAGGGATGCACCTGTCAGCACTTCCCAGGGTGCTGGGTGCACAGCAGGGCTCTGTGAACAGCTGACTCACAGCAGGTGGGCTGCCCATGGCCCATAGCGGCGGGAGTAGCACCAGCTGTAATAAGGGGCACGTGCTTTGTCACACACCAGCTTCTAACCTGTGTTTACCTGCATTTCCTCGTCCACCAGATAGTTCATGAGTGAGGTAGCATCTCTAGTCCCATTTTATAGACTCGGGCTCAGACCCTGGAAGCCAGGTTCTTAACCTCTCGGCCATCCCGCCCATCTCCTTGGCGACCATCCCCATCCTCCAATGACCATTTCAGCGAGCTGCTCCACCACACGGGCCGCTCTAACATGCACTGTAATGAGATCAAGAGAATCCAGGTTCACAAATGACTACACCTGCGGGAGGAGGACCCCTCGCACCCAACATTCCTGCGTCCTGCTGGGCTTCCTTCCACCGCACCTGCCTGCTTCCCTGGGGCAGCGGGCGGACACCAGGGGGCCCATTACCACCTTGCCAGGGGCCTTGCCTGAACTCCTCCAGCCCTGGCCCCCTGCTTTAGCCCCACTGGAAGCTCCCTTGTACTCCCAACTTTAGAATAGAACGGAAAAGAGATGACTAAGAAGTTCTGTTCACTGTGCACTTCGGCTAAGCAGCTCGAGGGCGTTTCTACGGCTCTGAGGGATCTGCTTAGGCTCCGCCTTCCAGCGTTCACACTTGGATCAATAAAATGAGATGAAAATAGCTCTTATGGTGTGTGGCTAAGACTTGGACCAGAAACCACATAAAATATTTGGGCACCAAATTCTTTTTCCGAAGCCCTGGCATGGAAAGTTTGACTCAAAATTCATTGAAGTGGGGCTGAGATTTCATTTTTATGAAGAACATACTGAGGTCAACCCATCCTGAACATTCTTCGTGTGAGCACAGACACCCTGGCCTGGGAGAGGGGCGGGCAGGGGAGGAGGCCACAGCTGCACGTTGATGGCCTTGACATTTCTGACTACACAGGTGCATTTAGTGCCATGTGGGTAACAGAGGGCCTGCGGAAAGAACTCTGATTGTGGTGTTTAGTTTAAAAACATACCTTTTCTGAGAACTTGTTGGCAGTTTAAGTTCTAGCCATCATCAATCACATTCCTTAGGCCCGAAAAACATGGAAACACACGCAAAATGTCCGTTACCTTTTCCCAGAACAGGAAGGAATTCGTTGAGAGGGAAAGTAAACAGAGCCACCAAGAACACTGGGCTGACTGACTTCTCTATTTCTAAGTAACTGAAAGAAAAAAATGCTGCTCTGTTGCCTTCACTAGGTTGGTGCAAAGAGCACTGTTAGAAGAATAATCACTTGGCACCAGGTGCATCTGCGCTCCCTGCGCTGGCCCGAGAGGCCACGCAGACGCCTGTGCATCAGCGGAACCACGAAGGATCAATAAAGGCAATCCAGTCTGCTGCCCATCGACACTTTTCTTATTGTGGTAAAATCTAC